TTTTAATAATGTTTTCTTTTTCATTATATGATCTCGAGCCAAAACTTTTTTAAAATAAATTTTCAATATCGCAATTACATTCCGAATCGCTAGCCACGATATAAGGGCTAAAATTAAAAATAAAATTATAAAAACTTACTCGGTAAAATACAATGTGTGGTGGATGTACTGGTACATACCTGATACAAAACATTCTTCAATTGTATGAATATACTTTTAAAGAAAATTATAATTAAATATAGCTTTGTAATGAAACATACATGAAAATAACAAAATATTCTTTACTCTTTAAATCTTAACCACTTAGTCAAATAGCTCCCTACGAGTGGAATCAGAGACGGTCCTGCTAGGTTTGCGGTGTGTACATACATGCACGCAAGCTGCCAAATCCTGAGGGTGCCCATACCGGTCAATGTCAAATGCCTGTTTATCCGCATCACTAGTATATCTCAAAGGATGTAACAGGGTTCTTGTAAATTTTAAACGTTTCTCACATAGCTGTAAAAGTCTAAATACGTTAAACTTAATAGATTGTCCGTCATTTATTTTCTAACTAATTCGTTTTAGGACCAGGTGTCCACGAAAATTTCCAAAATTTACAACTTTTCGGTCACTCTCGTTGAACTGGAAAAATGTCTGTCTTTTTTACATCTAATATTTCGAAATCAGTCCCACTGTACTCGGCTAGAGATTGATTCGGTTAGGCTTTTGTTTAAGTAAAATTTCGGCTCTTTTGTCAGGGTTTTGTTTACGTCCCCAATTCCCTAATCGCTTAATTATTTAACTACTTCTCAAGTAGAAATAAGTTGAAACCGGTTACTTTGTACTCGAATATTTGTAGTCTCGGGGAAAAGTGGAAAGGCAAAATTTTATGACAAACAAACACGTACATCATAAATTTAAGGAAAATAAATTCTAGAGCTTTTTCTGTACCCGGTGCATCTCTCTCATTCATTAAATTTAGTTGTAAATTATACTGTCAAAGTAACAGTTAATTTTTTAACATTATACAAGAATTGTACACGTTTTTTTCTACATCCCCTTAGAGATGGGATATACGAAATCGTAATATCACTGGTTTAACATTGAAATCCGCGAGTAATATAAAATCGGAGAGAGGAATAAAAATATTAAATATTTTAATGGATTTTTTAACTCCTGTCAACTATACAGAAGAATCGTAAAAACATACCAGTAAATTCTTATCGGTTGGGTTAAGTTATAAATATACTCGTGATTCACGTAATCGGGCAAGGGCGGCCAAATATCTAGCGGGCGGCTAACAGCCTGGAACCGGTCCTGGATAGAATTGGAAGCGTTATACGTGTAGCAGCCACCTGAGGTCCTAAGCTTCCACTGGCTAAACTGGGTGAGGTTGGTGCACTGTAAAACGCATGCGCGAATCTGGCTTTTTGGATGCTGACGATACAGCGTTTCCACTCCACTACTCCGCCACTAATATTCGAATATACAATAGCAATCTTTGTTTTTCACGTGTAGTATAGAAATTTGTAATAAGATACATAATGCAGTTATAATAAAATATTGTGCGATTATTTTCATATAATTAAAATTAATATGTATTTATTTTTTAGAAAATACAAGGGAAGCGGCGCATCCACCGCTTCTAATGACGGAACGCCACTGAAATATTGGTATTAAATCTGTCTTATAAAATCACGACGACTCCTGTAAATCGAGTTATCTGATAAGAATAAAATACAATACCAATATAGCTCTATCGTTGAAAAAATTTGCTTATTTTTGCTCACCTTGAGTTTTGCTTAGTAGAAATGGCTAAAAAGTGCGCAAAATACGTACGGAAATACGGTATTACAGCACCACCTGTCTAAAATACCATTTTTTGAAGGAACTGTGGGTGGTCGCCATAGATAGGTTTTACTGTAACTTAAGTTACTCGTGCTTTCATATTTCTATATTTCATATATCTACAAATCCAAATTAATATGGTGGAACCTGGTTAACTCGAATCAGTCAGGCAAAAATATTCTGAGGTCAAGTTAAAAAAGTTTTGAGTTATGGTGGTTCAGCTAAAAATCAAGATGTTGCGCATTGGTTTATTGGTGACCCATTATAAACTATCCATACGATATTTCTGTATGTCTTATTATGGTCAATGTAAACCTAATGTCATCCAGAAACTCAAAAATGCTTAACCAAATAGTTAAATAAGCTACCAAAAAATGTTTTCCTGAATGGCCAATCAGTTCATTCCTAAGTGTTTAGTAAGGAATTTTTTAAATTTTAATATTTCACATCTAAAATCAATGTTTTTTTTTTTTAATCACAAACATACCACTCTTTATGATTGTTATATTTTTAAAATTTTACCCCAAAGGTTAAAATTTTACATGGAATCTTATTATAATAGTGTTTTTTTAAAATTAATTTATGAAAAATCTATTTATTACATTAATTGGAGAAATTCATCAGCAATCAAATAAAACAAAATGGTCAGGAAAAATTCAGGTTCAAATGGCAATTACAGTATCTAGGTCACACACTGCTGAAAGCCACTATCACTGCCCATCATTACATGACAACGTTTACTTTTAGTTGTACTTGGTTATCATGCTTTATAGGAAGTTTCTGATTAGTTTATTTGATAAATGGATGTTAATTATTTTATTTAATGGAAAATTCTGAAGAGTTTATGAAAATACTATATCTAAACCCCATTCCAGTTAAAATTTAATTTAATTGAGTTAAATGGTTTAATTTAATGTGTAAATCACTATGCTAAGACAACTGGGGAAGAAAATGACTTCAAGTAAATGCAACCTCAAGTTATCCTGGTTTGAGTTAGTTAACCAGTTTCCACTGCATATAAAATTACTATGCAAAACATCTACATTTGATTATTATGTAAATATGTACTACACTCAAAGTTTTAAAAATAACTTACTGTAAATGATTAAGAAGCTCTTCAAACTGCTTCTTCTTAGGCTGCAACCAAAAACTTCTCAAATTTTCTACATATGTTATATCTATTGGAAGAGGAACATTGAGAGAGACATCACAAGCAGGAACATCAGTAATAGGCTTTAAAAACTTTTTACTATAGAAATTTAACTGAGTATTTTCATCTTCAACATCACAATTATTTCTTTTATCAGATATATTTTCAGAATATAAAATATTTTTCAGATCTTGACCATTTTGATTATTTTGTAAATTTTCACTGTTTAAATGTAAAAAGTTAAAATCAGTAGCTTGAATATCTTGAAATAAATTATTTATACCAGGAGAGTTCATAGAAAACTTTCCTGAAGTACTTATACAAGCATTTGATTTGATGGAATTATGTGAATCAGACTTCTGTAAAATATTATTTGAATCATTAGCAATGTTCATATCCATAAATGCATATTCAAAACAATTATTTGTTTCCAAGTATCCATTTGAAATATCTCCTTGATTTCTATTTTCAAATTCTGAAACATCTTCAGTTAACAATAATTCTGAAGATACAGGATTTTGATAGAAAGTATTTAATGTACTGTCATCACTTTGTTCTGATAAATTAGCTACCATCTCAGATACAGTTTCAGGAGTTGTTTTTGAGGTGATTTCAGGCGACACATTATTAGATGTTACTTCAGGTAATCTTGTATTTAATAATAAATCAGATGAATTATCATCTGCATTAACTAATTCTATATTATCAAGAGCAACAGATTTTAATCTATTATTAAGAATGCCATTTGGTGCATTATTATTATTATTACTCTCTTTATTCTGATTCCATGTACATTGTTGTTCTTTTTTAGAAGAGTCACTTGAAGAAATTATGCTACAGAGATTACTATAATCAGAATATTCTGCATTTTTTCCTGACTGCTCGCAATTAAGTATAATTTGGATAATAAGTAATCTTTCAAGACAAGCTTCAAGCTCTTGATTAACTTCATGATAACCACTAAGAAATTTAACTCGATCATCTTCTCCAAGTAAGTTCACAAATGGATTTTCAACCTAAAAACAATTAAGTGCATTAAGAAAACTTTAATTAATTAAATGTGATAATGTTTATCAATTATAAAGAATAAATTGATCAATTATTTTTGAATAAAGATTGTGTCTATATTAAATCCAGAAACTGAGAAAAATTAAATTTTATAATAATGTACATTTATTATCAAATCTTATATTCAAAAAGTTATAATAATCTAGTAGATATAATTTGAGATTATAGCAGTTTGAATCTTCCATTATTTCAACTATAAGATATTTATTTGAATGGCATTTATTATTCAGTTTCAATCTGGTGACAAAAATTCTAACACAAACAGGCCAGAAAAAATAACCTGTTTTAGAAATTTATAGTAATGAAAAATTCTCAGAAGATTATTATTGACATATGTATACAGAAAGATAAATCTATTATCATCTAAAGTATTTTCAATTTTTTTTTTTTTATCAAAGCCTAGTGAATGCCAGATTTAATTTATCATTGTTATATTTATGTATATCTTTAACATCAAAAAACAGTTGCTAAATCTTTATTCACAATTTTGGTGTATGTCATTACTACATACTGCACTTCTTAAAATCAAATTTCACAAAATTTAAGTACACCTCTCCTAATAAAAGCATGAAAAAGATATTCTCTGTAAAATAAATACCTTAGCTATCAGTTCATTAACATAGTTAAATATTAGTTCTTTTTCACTTAGGATATTACTAAATTTAACTTTCATGTGCTGTTTTGCTTTTTCCATTGGATCTCTTCTGCTCTTGATATTTTTAAACATCTGTTAAATTCTGGAATTCAAAATTATCAATTAATAATTGTGTATTGTGTAAAATTACTTCAAACTTTAAAATTATAACTAAATGAGAAACTAAATAATAAATTATAAAAATTATAACTAAACAATAAAATAATGTGTTTGCATAGTAAAAAAAAATGAATATAAAAATGAAAAGAATATGAAATTAATTTGACAAGTATTTTACTTAAGTACACGGAAAGATGGGTATATCATTGTTTTTTTTCATATTTACGATTAGGTATCTACTTTTAAAATATATTGTTGTTACATTGTATAAACATCAAATAATTGAAACAGGAGACTTAGCAAATTTGGCCTTCAAACCTTGAAAAGAAAAAACTCACTATCAAACACATATATCAAGCAAAACCACATTGTTCAAAAGACATTAAACATAATAAATGTTGTAATTTTTTATATTTGTGTGTCTACAGATTCATTTTCAACAGTTTCACAATGCTGATAGAGCTGGAAAAACTTAGGCACTGCTAGATGTTGGGCAAGTTAGTTTAAAAAGACTCTTAGCATGCAGTTGCCATTTTAATTTTATATCAAATTGCAATTTTGAAATATATCTTAGAATCAGAATTGTCTTACCCTCAAACTTATTTTTATTGTTAAAAAAAAAAAAAGGATAAAAACTGAAAAAATCATTCTATAAATAGAACATAGCTGCCTTGTAAATTAAACTGGTAAAAACTGCATATTGATATAATGAGCTTCACAGTCATTTTGTGATAGTTGATAGTACGAGGGCTGTTCGGAAAGTTCGCGGCCTTGCCTATATGCGGCGCTGCGATCAATTTAATTTTTGGCTGGAATAATTCAGCCATCTGTGCTAGAGATACTATACCAATTTCTGCTTGATTTGTCAAAAAGTTTTGCCACGACAGCTTAGCAGATAGTCAGTGTGCACATACTTTATCAAAAATGGAGAAGACGGAGACTCGTGCGGTCATAAAATACCTGACGAAAAAAGGGTTGACCGCATCTCAAATCAAAGCTGACATGGATGAAGTTTTAGGATAGTCTGCTCCTTCGTACACCACTGTGAAAAAATGGACAGCCCTTTTTAAATCTGGCAGAGAAAGTGTGAAAGATGACCCTCGCAGTGGACGGCCGTCAACTGCTGTCACTGAAGAAAATATCGACAAAGTTCACGATTTGTTCTTAGCAGATCGCCGTTTGAAAACGCTTGAGATAGCTGAGACAACAGGCATCTCTGTCAACCGAGTGCACCATGTCCTAACCGAAAATTTGGGTATGACGAAGGTCTCAGCAAGTTGGGTGCCACATCTTCTGACCGCTGAGCAAAGACGTGTTCACACTTTGATGTCAAAGAAGTGTTTGGACTTCTACCAGAAAAACCCACAGGATTTCTTGCGTCGGTTTGTGACTACNTAAGGCTTACCGTAAAGAACTCTGCTTCTATTTATACTATTTTAGATGCAGTTTTTATGGGAAAGGCTTACCGTAAAGAACTGTCCATCTCACATGTTTAACGGAATAATATACAGCCTATGTCCATCCTGAAGTTCCATTCTAAATATTGGTGAAAAAATTTTTGAAATCGGATGAGTAGTTTTGGAGATTACCTGCTGCATACAAACTAACAACATACAAACATTACCTCTTTATAATATTAGTATAGATATAGATATGTGTAACTCAATCTCATAACGATAATCAGAAATTTTACATTATCTAAGTTTCTATCAATTGAATCTTTTATAATTACAACAAAGATCTTTTCATAAGTCTCAACAAGTTTAAACTTTTATAGAACATAGAGATACCAAAAAAAAAACTAATAATAAAATTATACATTCTGAGTGTAAAACTGTGCTTATCATCATTTTATATTCTTACATGGATAAGAATAGCATGACTTTTGGCTTTTATTTTTTTACTTCTTCCATTCTGAGAATAGACTACCCTAGTCAAATTCAGGTGGTCAAAAAATTCTAGTTTTACAAATACCTGAATTTGATCTCAATTAACCCAGAAAGGTAGACTGATGCCTTAAACAGCTGTCATATGGCCAGCTGAGGCTTTTGACTATTTCTCAAGACTATTTTAGCATATGAATGGAACTGTTATCAATAAGTTTTTGATTCCACATGACAGGAAAAAAGAACTTTTGATTTCCCAAAATAAATTGTTTAATTATTTTCTCTCAGATGTGACCTTGAATAAAATATTAAACAAGATTTTAGAATACAGTGAAAACTGCTTAGACGACCACCTGTCAAAATGGGCAAAAATTTCTGGCATCAAATAGTTTATCCACAGAGTCTTCATATAAGTTACCTGTATTAAACGACCACCTGTGTAACGCGACCGCGGGCATCGATTTTTGGTCCAAAACAACATACAACTGTAATAAGCGACCACTTCCGCAAATATATCTGGTCTAAATCATTGTTCAACAACATTTCCCCCCTCCTAATATAATGAATTAGTCTAAACTCTCGTTCGAACCCACCTCAGGCACTTCTCCCACCCTCGAAATTAGGTATAGGTGTTAATGAATTAGTCTAGCAACAAAGGAAATTCATTTGTTTGTTCGAAATTGTCCGAAAAAATGAAAGAAATGCAAAGTGCTGTCGTTAGAAGATCGTGTTAAAGTTAAGTGTTAAAGTTAAGTGTTAAAGTTAATACAACAGCAATTAGCGGCAAAGTTTAGCTGTGGGAAAACAAAATTTATTTTACCGTAGACCTACAGTATTTTCCTTGGGGGTATAAAATATTGTAAACAATTCAATTAATCGGCTGATCTCATCGTTTGATAAAATTTATTTATTTATTTTGAAGGTCATATACAGTACACGTGCAATAAATAGTTTATATATCTTATTTCTAAGATATTTTTAGAAAAATAATATCAAAGTAATTTTCGCACGCAAAATATTCAAAAAACAATAAACACATTAATGCAAAAATCAATTTTGCAGGCAACCTTCCTTTTTCGATTCCGCAATGACAATCACGGAATGTAACAAAATCGTATAATAAGAAAAAATAATAAAATCATTTTATTATTAATTAATTAATAATTTTTCTTATTGTACTTAAGAAAATATTTAAAAACTACAGTATTTTTAAAGTTAAAATAAGATTAAACTAACGAATACCAAAACGATGTATAGATACTATGCACTTGTGTATCAATGACGTAATACATGTAACTGAGGAGCAAACGAAAAAAACCGAGTTGAATTAATTAAGTCCGAAAAAAGAAAGTGCGCACTATAATCAAGAAAATGCGACTATTAATCTTTAAAATATTGCAATGGCGTGCCGTGACATTTGATGATAGGGAAACTGTTTCTACAAGAAGCCGACTTCCAAAGGCAATCAGTTACTTCTTTCTTTAAATGTATTTTTAATAGATTATTTATCTGATGTACTTAATAAATAAACAAGTTCAATATAATTACCTCTGTTATTAGATCCAATATATTCCATATGCCCTCTAAATGCCAATTCTTGCTTTGATAAAAACATATAACAAAGTAAACAGATGCTATATCTATTAACCGTAACTATCTTGTTATAATCTTCAATATTTATTTTATATTATTTACTAATGTTAAATTCTATTCCGCTTCAATTTCCAAATTGCTTCAAATACGAAAGAATCGACGATTTTTCGTGTCTTTTGCCAGCTAAATTGTCAAAGCCATTCTTATTCCACACACTAATTTCACTCTGTAAATGCATTTTTATGCATTTACAGAGCCATTTTATCGTGAAAATATCGAACAAATTTTTTTATTGAAGCGTTTATATTTAACTTAGGCATTGGCCGTTCTCTTTTAATAATGTTTTCTTTTTCATTATATGATCTCGAGCCAAAACTTTT